TTCTTCTAGAGTGGACCCATTGTCGATACGTCGAAGAGAATTAAATTTCACTAAAGGAAAGAAACGTAAACATTTAAATACGAGCTCCAATGTCTGCTCTAAGAAATTATTTAACCGATCAATTACGCTGTTAACCATGAAATAAATAAAGCCACTTTAGTTTTTTTATGTATAATAGCGACTTTCAGTGGTGTAGATGTCTTCCTTGTGTGAATCGTGTAAGATAATTGAAATAAAATTTCGACTGATCTGAAAGCGAGGATTAAACGAAGTGAAAATGATGTTTTTGAAATTTCTGAGCCAGTCTTTTCTTTTTGCATAATGCCCAATGTTTTGCTTACTTTATCAGAGTATATTCTTTTTCCAATACCTTTCTCATAATTATGTGCCATTCTAATTCTAAATATTTTATTGTTACCATTTTCTTAAATGACCTCGTTACTAAAATAGTCATTCCATGGAACTCTCGATATCCTGCTGTCAAACTATAATTGCATTGCCTTAAGTCTATTCCTCATCTATGCAGAAATTGTCCGGCATTCACTTATATTACATAGCATTATCTTGCTTCTAATGAAATCTTCCTACTTGGTATTTTCCGCCCTCAGAATTCCTCTTCTGCTAACAGACTTCTAATATATTAAATTATTAGTACTTGCTTCATTTTGTTATCTTCAATTCGTAGCTGGCAACCTGTAGCAGAATACTTTAACCAAAGTGATTATTTTTCGTTAAGATGTTATTTGGAAATTCTACAAAACAAGCTTCGCTTTATATCTTGATATTTGATGCTGTAAGTATGCAAGTATGCGATTATCTCTCTTCCAGAAAGAATAATTCGTGAGGCTCACTTGCGTCCCGTGATTGAGTGGCGATCCCGGTTAGCGTGTAGAAGTCGAAGAACAATAAAAAGTTTGCCCACAGCAGTTAAGAGAGCACGCTCGTCATATGGTCTCAAAAGCGTACCTACAGAACATCACCGGCCTCCCATTTTCAATTCTGGAAATATTATAATTAAGACCTCACTATTTTTGCCCATTCACGCTGGAAAAACGGTGGTAAAACAAATACTTGGTAATATCAGCTGATAGATTTGAAATAAAGGAGAAACCTTTCTGTGACATTTATATTTTTATTAAATATTTGCTGACATATTGTTATATGCAGTGTGTCAAGCGAAGTTACAGGACACAGGTATATATCTAAAATGTAAAAGAACCATACAACATTTATTTTAATGAGAAATTTCAGTTAACATTTAAAAAGTAATTTTTAATAAATAGAACGTATATACAAAGATATACGCTGGTGATGCGGTAACTAAGAAATTTAAAAGGTCACAAAAGAAGAAAAAGCTGAATTAATATGTATGGATTTAAGAAATGGTCATATTCGAAGAGCATTGAATTTTACAGTTTCAAAAGTTGGGTTGGGTGTGCAGAATTTTGTGGAGCAGATGTAAGAGTGTGGTCTGTAAATTTGAAATTGAAACCAAAGATTTAGGTGTCAGGAAATTTCCAGATTATTTTTCTGTTCCCAAGTGGTTGGTTACTTGATGCAGCAACATGGTATGCGAGCAAAAGCAAAAGACATCTTGTTTGAGAGATGCTGACTTTTTCGTGTCAGCTTGCGATGGCTGTTCAACATCGAACTTTTATCATGCTGGTAACTATATATATATATATATATATATATATATATGTATGTATGTGTGTGTGTGTGTGTGTGTGTGTGTCTGTATATAAAAATATGTGTATATATATACACACACACAAATATATATATATTTCTCAGATTAGGTATGATGTACACTATTTCCATTATTCGGCATATTTCTTACAATGATTCGGTCGTTGTACGTTCCAGCCTTCTTCAGGTAGTTGGAATGTCGAACTGAATCCTTTATTTCGCTCACTGGGGTAGACTGATCTATTTCCACGTGCCTTGTTTAATGGATGTCAGTTATCAGTTACATCCTGTTAATTTCCCTCTGAAAGTTCTCCATTGAACTCACACTTTTTGGGTCGTGCCACTGGATCTAACCAACGCCTTTATCCACTGTGCCATGTGTCCTTATATGACATAGCGGTATAAAATCTCTTTGAGGACAATAAATGTTTGCTATTCTTATTAAAATGTATATTAGTTCTTTTGCTTTGACCAGAGAACGATGATGTATCCAAACATCATATTGGATCAGCTATTCAAAAGTATGCAAAAGCTTTGCAAGGCTTATATGAAAATGAAACATGTCAAATGAAATCAAAAGTTATAACATGTCTTTTGAGCTAGATTATATTTAATCAGCGGTTAGGTTTGGTAAAGATCAACGACTGCAGGCCTGCTGGAATATTCTCTGTCTCTCAGAATATAATATCTTATTGTGAAACAAGCGAGGAACTTACGATCAATCATCTCAACTCTGTTGCCGTCTCCATTAATGGCATCTATCTATCTATCTATCTATCTATCTATCTATCTATCTATCTATCAGGAGTAACAGCAACATTGTGTAAATCTTGTAACTGCATAATAATCCATCCCACAAAATGTTTAATATCTAACAAAGAACTAATAAGAAAAATTTATTGGATAGACAGAAATTGCCCATTTTATTTAAGAAATAATTTTTGAGAGAAGATATATATATATATATATATATATATATATATATAAAGACAAAATTGTACTGTTAGATCTGAAACGTTATACCTAGAAATGATTAAAGATATCTTACTGGAATTCCCCGAGGTTTTGAACTCCACTTTAAATAATAAGAATGTATAATTACCCTCGCCACTTCTTGGTGGGCACATGAGCTGTGTGTCAGGAAAAGAGAACAGATGTAGTTGTAGCTAGCTATGAGTAAATAGAAGGACAGACCTGGTTCAATAGCCTTCGATGGCAGCAGGTCTACCGGAGAAGGAAATGACAACGTACTGCGAGGAAAAATCTGCATCGTCAGTCATGTCTCAAAAGATAAATGATCACCCTAAGCGTGTATCAAGCGAGACACATAACTCATTGAATTACTTTCCAAACTTAACAGAAGAATTTTGATGAAATCGATCATAAACGAAAATGATATAAAAGGTCATTAAGTATTGAAATAAATTTCATTATATATATATATATATATATATATATATATATATATATATATATATATATATGGGCAACTTCTGTCTATCCATTTAATAATTTTTGTTCCTTTAATCTGTCCAGAAATGTAGCAACAAATAAGGAAAATGCATGATATTTATTCATTTTCACTTTTAACTTAAAAAGCAATTCACAATCCAAATACAATTCTTATAGAGTAACATCTTGACACTTTTCAGACTACGTATTTATGTCATTAATTTCGTTCACAGATAAAACAAAATAATATCTTCAGTCGTCGTCTACTGAGAAACTTGTTGAATTTTCTTCTTACTATATATTGTATAAATTATTAGATAACATAACAAAAATATAACACTTCTAATAAAATTTCATCGTGTTACAATATTAAAATAATATACAATTTTCATAATCACATGATATAAATCTGCAATAATAAAATTATATACTAAACATATAAGAAATCATCATTTAAATTTCTCATAGCATAATTCTATATTAAAATAATATAATTCAACAATATCCTCATATTATATAATTATAAAAGTATATGGTAAAAATATAAGAAAGTGTATGATAAAATTCTATAATAGCATAAAATTATTATTTTTTTAAAGCATTACGCCCTGAGCAAGGCGTGAATCCACTAGGATGCAGGGGGTTGCAGAGGATTTGGAGCAAGATCAGATAGGAGTGATAGAAGAAAGGATGAAGAGAAGGATAGTGGATAGATCAAGCTAAATGGAGATGTCGATTGACATTACATTTGAATAGTTGGAGATTATAGCTCTCAGGGAAGGGTGTTCCACAGGAGAGGTGCAGATATGAAGCTATTGGAGTAGAAGAGACGGCTACATTTAAAAGTTTCTATAGTGAAAGGGTGCGAGCGGGATGCCGGCCTCGTAGGGCGCTTGAATTCATGGAGTCTGGGAACCACTGAAAGCAGCTCATCGGGCAATTACCAAGAAAGTACTAGTAAAAAAGACAGAGAGGGCGATGGTGCGTCTGTGAGAGAGCAACTGTAGACGAGATGCCAGAGCAGGGCCAATTATATTACATATCCGACTCTGGATCTTGTCAAGAACTCCGAGGGTAAACAAAAGGTGCACCGGACCATATATGGTAGCAATACTCCATGCAAGGGCGAATAGTTGATTTGTAGAGCTGAAGTATCGATTCCGGAGAGAAAAATTTCTTGGCGCGGCACAGAGAGCCAACTTTTTGCATGCATAATCTTGCCCTCAGCTTTGTTGTTGGCAGCATATTGTGCCTCCTTCCTTCTTGATCGGAGAAATCTACAGAGAATTTACAACTAAATCCTTTATTCAATTTACAAGTGTAGTTTATTCTCGTTCAGCTGACAATGTCTTGTATAGTTTTTGTATCTAACTACAGACTGAAATCACAATTACTTATAAAAAAAAATCACTAACCAACGTTTTAATCCCATGTAAGCTATTGTCTGAATGGGTCTTAGACTTAACCAGCCTGCCGATTAGTGCTGCCGCTGCTTGTTACACTTGACTGCACTCTCTGGGGATTCGCTTTTTCCTGCAGCTGCTCTTGCTGTTGAAAGCTTATTGTTTTCTTAGTTAAGTGTTCGCATCCCGTATTTATTTTTATGCTAGGTCAACTGAAGTTGTCTTCATAGCCTAGTATATATAATTTTTAAAGGCAAACGAAAATGATCATTGATTAAATATATAAGACAGACCACACGTTGTAGCGGAGCCACCCGCAATCTCTTCATATCCCCCATGGTGAGACGTAAATTCGACTTAAGCAGCTTCTTTCCTCGAACCGCTATATTTTGGATCCGATTCCTAAGCGACGGCTTCCCCGATCACTACAATCTTAACTTTTTCACGTCTAAGATTAACTGCTATCTTCCACACAAAACCGCATAAGCATCTATCTCCAGTGACCCTCGGGCTTTATACAGGGTAAACATTAATAAAAAAAAAAAAAAGGCTTAAGTACAAACTTAAGATTACCGCCCTTTGGTTAGAATCAAAGGCGACGCGATTTTTGAAAATCATTCTCTTTTATATGATCACGTTAACGAAAACGTGTGTCTTTTCAACATCCCTCATCAGATGCGGCATTAAAATACATAAATGTTGTGGACCCAGAATAGGACCGAAAGAAAACTCGAACTCAGCAATTTAGAGAAAAATTATTATTATCAAAATGAACGAATACAAAAGTGTTGCACGCCCGACTGACGACAAAGTACAGTAGTCAACTCGTCAACTGTAGACAGCGATATTTAGTTACCCCCCCCCCCGACGAGGGTTACATGTGTCACAAGGCCGGTTTAATGTGGGATCTCAGAACCCGTAGGCTCGGCCAAAAATAATCACTCTTTGAACCCGCATAAACGGGTTCAGGGGTAGTCAACCTCCCCGAAAAAGACTCTGCCCTTCAGCGGAGCCTCGTCCGGGTTCTTCTCCGTCCGAACGCAGAGACTTAGACTGCTTAGCTGGAACATGTCAACTGTAGACAGCAATATTTAACAGTCCCCGCCACGAGGAATGTATGTGGCACAAGGCTGAGTTTAATGTGGGTTTCTCCGATCCCGTAGGCCCGGCCAAAAATATATCTTTTGAACTCGCCTAGACGGGTTCAGGGCCTGTCTACCTCCCCAGACGAAACTTTGTCCTTCGGCAAAGCTTTGTCCGGGTTCCTCTCTGCCAAAGCAGAGAGTTCGACAGAAGTCGTATACAGAAGATGTACACAGTCAGAGACAGCGGGTCAACTGTAGACAGCGATATTTAGTTACCCCCCACCCCCCACGAGGGTTACATGTGGCACAAGGCCGGTTTAACGTGGGATCCCAGAGCCCGTAGGCTCGGCCAAAAATAATCCCTCTTTGAACCCACATAAATTGTTTCCGGGGCACTCAACCTCCCCGAACGAGACTCTGCCCTTCAGCGGAGCCTCGACCGGGTTCCTCTCCGCCCGAAAGCAGAGAGACTGCTTAGCTGGAACAGGTCAAATGTAGACAGCTCCCTTGAGAAGCATAATCTCCCAGTATATATAATAATAGGACGAGTCCATTTAGTCCATAGTCCCATAACAATAAGACACCATAAGTGAAATTTCTTTTAAGCTTCCGTTTCTCCTGTCTTTCTTGCAAACATGCCTTGTGAATACATTTATTCTCCGTTTAGAATCAATTTTGACTTAATTTGACATGTTTATCTCAAGAACGTACCCAGTATTAACACAATTTCAGCGAAATAAAGCAATGTTTTTTATTATTATTATTATTATTATTTTTTTGGGCTCTGGTGTAATTCAAAACTTTCAAATTCTTTGCACGCTGAGAACTCTAGAAGGTAGAGATGAGAAGAACTTGACATTGTAAAACTGTTCAACTCCTCTAGAAAGAAAAAAAGAACATGATTAAAAAGAAAACAGATAAATATTTTTATTTTTATCCAGTTTCTTATTATTAAAAGAGTATTCAAATGACAGGGAATAAATAAAACACAGAGAGATTCCTTAACGAACCGCTGTAACACCCGGTTTCTACCCGGTATCAACACACCAACTGTTTGGACTCTAAAGCATAACTTAATACGTTTTCCTTTCATTTTACCCCATTCGCGGACTTCAGAGTAGATTCGCGCGAATATTTAACAAAACTTCTATCTATCTATATTTCTGAAATGAGGTATTATGTACACTATTTACATTATTCAGACTATTGTCCTAATCTTTGTCGCCATATTTATCACAAAGTTTTGGCCCTTCAGTATCTGTCTATATTTCTGAGATGAGGTATTATGTACACTATTTACATTATTCGGACTATTGTCCTCATTTTTGTTCTCATATTTATCACAAAATTTCGACCGTTGTACGTTGCAGCATTCTTCGGTATCTGTCTATATTTTTGAGATGAGGTATTATGTACAATATTTGCATTATTCGGACAATTGTCCTCATCTTTGTCGCCATATTTATTACAACGCTTCGGCCGCTGTACGCTCCGGTTTTCTAAGAACTATTCTAAATGCGTGTTACTTAAAGATTATAAAAACTCTAATATTAATAACTTAATAGCGGTAAATGTTTGAAAGCTGAAACTTTTCAGATTAATAATTTCTTATATATTCTAAAGGAGGAGTAATTTCTATATTTCTCCATGAATTATAAGTTTATTAAATTGTATTTGAATTTGATATCTACACAATAGGGATATCGTTTCATATTTATCAATAATTTATGTTTTTATTTTGTCAGAAAGTGATTAATAAATGTAATATATTCTGATAAAGTATCAATTATAATAAAAACACTTTGTGATACAAAATATTAATTTATACTGACTTTGAAAGATTTTATTCATAAACACTAGAGATTTAAACT